CATGTTTTTAATGAGAGATCTTGGAAACTACCTGAAGAGTTCAAGGTCGTATCTGAAGTGGCATCTAAGATATCTGAACTCCCCTCATCCAATTTTATCAATGTCTTAGAATTTTTTAAAAATTATTTTTGACGTTAGTCATAAATTATTGTTGTTTTCAAATTAAAATTTAATACTGATCATTATATGTGTTTATATTCTATTTTAATATGCTACTTAATGAATATTTACAATATGTATAATAAACATTTAATAAATGCAAAAATAAAGCATTAAATAATTTATATTAAGATGGAAGTTTCACATTTGAATCTGATTTATATTGCTACATTATTATAATAGTTTCGAATTTCTAATACTAAATTGTTATCGATAAACGAGGATTGTTATAACTGCCAGACATCGGTAATTAGAAGACAACATGTTTGTAAATAGTAACATTTTATATTCTAATTCGAAATTTGTTAACATTTCAATACCGTAAAAGAACGTGCGTATGAAAAAGTGTAGGACACTAGTGTAATCTATTGTGCAAGGAACGTAAATTGAGCTTGCATCTACTCTATATCACTCTGTGGATGACTGAAAAGACATAGGCTACTAGGAAATAGTTTTCTTGTACAGGACAGCAATGTTGTTTATAATCTTATTGTTGGTTTCTCCGGTTATTAAGTTATAAATGCGTTAGTATAAAATACTATACTTGAGAGCAGACTATATACACACAAGAAAGGGTTTACATATAATCTCAAAAGAACATTAAATTCAATTCTGACCTTGGATAGATTTAATATAGAGCTGTAATGGAGAAGTTATCATATGTGAAATAATGTATTAATAAAAGTCGCGTAGTTTTGAATGCATGTATCGATAATCATAATCGTTAATAACGACATCAAATATAACTATCAAATATTTATCTCACAAGGATAATTAGAGGTAATTAAAAACATTTATTTATATGGTAAATCTACAATAACACCTATATCGAAGGATTTTAAGTAGTTCACAATTAGAATAGGGTAGGTCGTCGAAAATGAACTGACTGAATAGTTGTATAGAAAAAATACAATACCCATAGTTTACACATATTATATTGTATTTTTTATGTAGGACGATAATCTTTCGTGCCTTATAACCCTACATCTAGACGTGTTTCTGCACGGACACATACCCCAAGATATTTTCACTTTAATCTTTTTATTCTCAGTCAGTGACCTTATACCAAACACCCCAATAAGTTATATCTTATACGTAAACAATTTTTTGGTGGTGCTACCTTGTTATATATTTTGTACACTATACGGATATTTTTCGTATATTACAATCATTCGTATAATTTGTGAATCACAAACTACTCAATTACTCACAAAATAATTAAAATTTTGAAAAAAATGTATTTTTACTTTTTAGTTACATACATTTCTTGATTTATCTACAATTAAGTATTTTTTTGGCTCATCCTTTGTGCGCTATAGACGTATTTTTTTTTATTAAAAACATACATTTATCTACTTTATAAAATAGAAAATATTTGTTATGTCGCCATTTAAGGATTAAGCCTAAATGCTCGTCGACAGTAAACTAAGGAACCTACGAGGGATTGCTGGCTAGGTTATATCTACTATAGGTACCCTAGTTAATTCATATACCCATACAGGAACTACCAAGAGTCGTACTATAATACTTTATATATAACACTCTTGGTTAACAACAATTTAAATATTTATAAATTAAAGAAATATTAAATAAGTAGTAAAACCTCCTGGATGCCTAGAGATGATAATAATCCAACAGAGAGCTGACGGCGACGCACACACACTTAATAAAATCGTCGTGGGTAAGCTAAGTTAATTTATGTATTTATATATGAGGAACAATGAAAATAATAAGAACGTTGGTCGTTCCGGTGGTAAAAAATCAATTGACTACTTGTGACATACGCATTATGGCGCACGATGGCTGTTGTTACGTCACTATTTAGGGGTTGAGCCTAAATGCCCGTCTATAGTATTTTAAGGGACCAACGGGGGATAGCTGGCTAGGCTANTAAATAGTGTGTGTGTGTGTCGCCATCAGCTCCCTGTTGGATTATATCATCTCTAGGTGTCCAGCAGGTTGTACTATTTATTTAATATTCTGTACTTAATAAATATTTATATCGTTGTTAACCAAGAGTGTTATATACAGGATGTTCAGTAAGTCAGGAAACGGGTTTCTATTGTTCTCATTGTTTGTAACAATGAGAACAATAGAAACCCGTTTCCTGACTTACTGAACATCCTGTATATAACACTCTTGGTTAACAACGATATAAATATTTATTAAGTACAGAATATTAAATAAATAGTACAACCTGCTGGACACCTAGAGATGATATAATCCAACAGGGAGCTGATGGCGACACACACACACACTATTTACGTGGTAGGTAAGTTAAGTTGAATATAAGACAAAGAGTAATGGTCAAGATGATTGTAATAAGTCAACTGCTGATCGGGACATCCATATTATGGCACGGTGGCCGCGAATCCCGAAAGTGCTTATGTGTGCAGTCAGTCCTCCTGTTAGTACTTATGTATGTCATTGTGCCAATATTATAAGTATAATCAGCGGTACAATCATATTGTGGAAACAGTAATATGGGCATATATATGTGTGTGTGTGTATAATATGACATATAATATTATAATACATAATATATATGTGGTCTGTTGTATCTCCTCCGTCGGTTGGACTTCATCCCTCCTCTCGCCCAATCAAAAAAATTTTAATAGCTTCTGAAATACTTGCTCAAAATTTGTTATCGTTCAGTCATTCTCTTAATTAAAATGTTTTTTATTCTATAAGCTAGTGAAATAAGTATGTTTCTAATAAAAAAATAAAAATTGATACGCTTATAACGCACAAGGTACGAGCAAAAAAAAAATAAATAATAGTGGATAAATTAGGAAATATGTAATTAAAAAATAAAAATTTAATTTTTATCTAAATTATAATTATTTTATGAGTTATTGAGTGGTTCATAATTCACAGATCCCTTTGAATATAATCTTAGGTTCAATAATAGCAACAACACTCCGGTGGAAATACTTATGAGAATAAACAGAATTAATATAAGTCGGTATAAAGTATGCACAATTGACTTACAGGTCTGAGTGCATAAGTAATTATTGTTCACGTCTATATCAACTAAAACTATACTAGTGACGTAATAATATTAACGCTCCAAAAATTATTTTTAAATTATTTTTTCCAAAAATTAAAAGAAAAATTATTTTAGAACTATTATTGGTTTGTATTTGTAGAAGTTCTATTATTGATATGAGTAGTATATGTATGGCGGGTACGGGCTCTCAAAGGTGCCGACAAATGACGTCATCTATTGTTCTTAGAANACAAATTACGTCATCTATTGTTCTTAGAACAATGGGGCTATTGTTCTCGGAAAACAATAGGTGCATTACGGGCTCTCAATGGTGCCGACAAATTACGTCATCAATTGTTCTTGGGAAAACAATGGGTGTACAGGTGTGCGGTACGGGCTCTCAAAGGTGCCGACTAATTACGTCATGTATTGTTCTTGGGTAACAATGGGTGCACAGGTGAGGTGCAGTCCGTCATGGTGACGTCACAGCTGACCTACCTTAACCCCCCTGGCCCCGGCGCCTGTTGGGGACTGCATCCAAGTGCAGCTTATGACGTTATGCCCCTAGTTGACGTCACATTTGAACCCTGACCTAAGGTAAGCTCTATGTTGTGCCCTTTGCTGACGTCACACCTAAACTTTGATATAAGGTATGCCCTATGACGTCATACCTGACCTTAGGTAAGCCCTGGCTGACGTCACGCCTAAACTCTGTGCAAACATGAACCCTATGACGCTTTTGCCAGATCGGTCGAACGCGCCCTATGACGTCATACCTAAACTTTGATATAAGGTAAGCTCTATAACGTCATACCTGACTTAAGATAAGCCCTATGGTGGGCCCTGGCCGACGTCACGTCTAAACTCTGTGCTAACATGAGCCCCATGTGGACCCTGTGTGCCCTATCACGTCGTGATTGTGTCTTGCGCTATGATGCTGTCATGTACGACCCTATATAGTACTACAACGTCGGGCAGCGCTTCACCGACCGATCGAACGCGCCTTAACTCCATCGTCGGATCCCACAGCTAACAAGTCGATAAAAAAAAAAAAAGTTCATTTTCCAGAGTACCTTCACGCAAACGGTTAAACGTGTGTATAGTACGTGTCGAGTCCGCGGGTTTGATATGTCACAACCCTATATACCGGCGCGCCAATTCACCCCCGACGCTGTCGTTTAAGTTTAAGTCGATATTTCGTAAATGATGAATACCCCTTCTATTTAGTTCCACTACACATTCCAGACATTCCGACAGTCGTTGTGTTTGATAAAAAAAAGACCACCGAACACGTGCATAACGCGTAGGCGCAATATCTCACAGCATTACTACAAGGTCGTTTGTTGTTTACAGCATTGGCTGTGTGTGTGTGTAATACTATATACCCTTTTTTTTTTTTTTTTGAAACATTTAAATACAATATACGGTTTATATTGATGCGTACTATTTGTACAGTACAAATAGCCGTCGCTTGTTGATTTTTAAATTAATGTGTTAGGTATAGTAAAATAAATCTGATTTTTGAACACATATCTATAGCAAAGGTTTTGCTAATAAATAAAAATTGAGACTGCAATATTAATGTAGTATCCATCCGCGGTGGACGTCAATCGCCCGAAATATTCACCACGTATTTACGAGTGACCTGAAGACATCAAAAGTGACCGTACACCAAACACAATGGACAGTGTAAGCGGCAGCACAACCATTGAAACGTTGTGGGAGCATATTAAACAGATGGACGCTTCGCGTATCGGATTATTTTTTTGTATAACGGCTGCAACATCCTTTTTGATTTTGCTGCATTTCACACAATCCGTTGACAGCAACAGATATCAGATTGTGAACAGTAGCGACAGCGATAGTGGATACGAAGATGCGGATGACATTGACAATTTAAAAAATAATTTGTTTGTAATGACTAATCGTTTGGACGCTCTCGGTCGAGATTACATAACAATCGAAGATCGTGTTTTTATATTGGAAAAACGTATCGAAACAGTAGAACGAACATGCATATGAATGTCAACGTGTGTTATTTAACCAAAATGCTGACAAACAAAATAAAATAAATTAACTGATATTGTACTACAAATATAGTTACATTTTTACAAATGTAGAAACTGTACTATACTAATACACTAATAGATTTTTCAAAAAATCTAAGAGAATTGTAGTATTTATACGTGTTGATATCTACCAAAAAAATCAGACCATGATAATTTTTTATACAAAGTTAACAAAATGTTTTTTTTTTTTGGTCGTGTTTTTTACACACAAATCATTTTGGTTCGTGTTAAGGTCCTTCTAAAATTAATTTGCTCAGTTTAATCATTCCCCTGTTTACGACTTACGTTGTTGTTCGGTGTACGGTCATACGTTTACAATCGAAGTGTATTTGATCCAAAATGGATAGTGGAAAAGAAACGTATATTGCGTATGAAAATCGTCTCAATGAAAATTCAGGTAAGAAATAAAAACTGTATGATATGACAATCGAAACTAATTTTACGTAAAATTACTTTTCCATTTTTCTCGTTTAGGATATGATGTTTGTGGATTTTACTGTTCGACGTCTAATGATCAGCAGACTAGAATGAAACTCCCTAAACACAAAGAGTTTGCCGATTATAACACTCGTTTAAAAAGACTTTTGAAAACTGTCCAAAAAAATTGGAATCAAAAATATCAAGACTTTGTGATGCTGGATTTTTATACTTAGGTATGGGACTATACAGTATTGAATGCATTATTATGATTGGTACATTTATTCAAATTCATTATTTATAAGTGTATATAATTTTTAGGTAACGGACAAAATGATCAAATGTTATGTTATTGCTGCAGTCAAGGTATGAAAGATTGGGATGATGAAGACGACCCATGGGTAGAACACGTACGTTGGTCTCCTAGCTGTACCCATGTATTGTTATGTAAGGGACAGTTATTTATCCAAAATAATAAAATAACGAAATAAGACTACTATTATTTGTTATTCTTATATTGTATTGTAGTTTGAAAAATAAATAAAGATTTTTAATATTGTATCTTGTGTGTTATATGAAACGGTATAAAAGATACAGTGTGTAATAAATAAAAATATCAATTTTCGATTTCGTAAAAAACATAATATACTACTAAATTTATAATTTGTATAATATAAGAGGGTTTTTGTATTCACAAACTTTCAAATCTACAAAAATAAAAAAAAACAAACACGTGTGACTTTATCAGCTTTATTGTGTTCGAATTATGTGTATATATGTATTTATTTTCTAACTTAAATGAAAATTAACAAAAATATTGCTAATCTCGCTTGTTTTTTCTTTTACACTCAAACCCTTACATCCAGTAAATATTCTATACGTTTTTTATCGTTAAAATACGTTTTACTTTGCTATCTACAACATTGTGTAAAATAAACAACAATATCCATGTAAGCAATTTAGTGATCCCCACTAGTAAGATATTGAATTCCTAGGGACATTTATCCCAAACAATTCACTATATTGTGCCTAAAATATAAATTTTACTATATAACTGTAGAAATAACCATTTATCTGTTCATTCACTTTTTGGTGTTTTTATGGTTCTTTTCATCTATATCTACAACTGTGTTTCACGGCTATTCCTGTGCATTTTTCAACAGTTATTAAATTGCAAGTAAAATGTTTAAATTGTTATAATATCTTTCACGTTCAATGCATCTATTTATTTTTAATAATCTATATTACTTATAAATTTCAAAAAGTTTTTTCATTAATTCAATTTGTTTATTGTAATTAAAAAGAAAAAAATATATATATGGTACTTGTTGCATTGAATGATAAAATTATGTTATTGATTACATTTGTTGTGCAAATAAAATTTTCATTCGTCTTTTTTAATAGTAATTTATTTGTTTTTTAACCCTGTCATGTATTTATTTATTTTAAAAATCGATAACCTTATGAAAATTTGCCAAAAAATTAATTTATTAAATACATTTTTTTTTATTATAATCTAAAATAATTTATTTTATTCAAACCAGATTTAAAATTTTTTTGTGACACAATTGTAGTCTGCACAACTAATGTATGATTAAAACTAAAGTGATAGTATTTTAAGTAATACAAACACAAATTTTTAGGTTAAATATATTCAATAAAACCGTTCCAGAATCTTTTTCAAGTGTATCTGTTTTCGTATATTTAATCAAAAGTAAGTTATTATCTATCACTATTCAGTTCAAAATGTACTTATAAGTTTACAATAATTTTAGTTATTCAAAATGAAATTACCAAAAAGTGTCAATAATGTAGAACATCTGATTGAATACATGGAAAGTACTGGAGTATTATGTTTTTTAGAAATCGCACAGCTTTTGACCGGGGAGTAATGAATGATGGTTTTAATATTCGCGATCCGGAAGCATTACGAACCATACGGAGTTGTGCCGATTTATACAAGAGAGAAATTCGAGCGGGTAAATTAATAATGCTGTTTGGCGAAAAAAATTATTTAAAATTTAATTTTTATAATGTACGTTATCCCGACGGCTCCACGGCATCTATTTGTAGGTCGGGTACATGTTTTGTTGAATTATCGAATATTCAGGAACGTGTAATTGTACAAAAGGTGGTTGAGGAGTTTGTTCTCAACCCCTATTCTATGCACTTTTTGATATTGCATTTTCCACCTCACTGTTCATGTAAATTTAGTGATGAACAAATATTTACATGGACAGTGTAGATTAATTGTTGTATATATAGTTTTGTTTAGTTTATAGTTTAGTATATAGTTTTGTAAATATATTTAATACATTATGTTGAAATATTAAAATAAATATGTTGTATTAATAGTGTGTATGTGTGTACTTGTTTTCACTAACTTATTAAAAAAAAAATGTATTGATTTCCTTATTAAATAATCTAATGGTAACAATGTAGTAACAATCAGATCATTTGTATCGGGTATGTATCGTAAAATGAAATGGTGAATAGATTAGTATTTATGCTGTAAAGGTTAAAGAATATTATCTTATGTAAACATGTGTGTGTACTACGCTCCGATACACACTCAATGATTTCTATAGTGTATGATGACGAATAGTTTGTAAACAACTGTATTGTTAAAGAAAAAAAAAATTCAGTTTTTAAATGGTTAGATGAGTACACATAGCTGAAGGAGTGCATCGGCTGTATTGTCGCTCAGTGATTTATCTTAAACATAAACAAGTAGAGAGAGGAAAGGGGTAGTATGCTATGAGAGAGTACCGATATGAATGTCAAATTAATGGTCTCGTGGCAAGCGTATGGAGGTGACAAAAAAAAAAAAATTCATAGCACTGTTTTCAAGTTATGTGCAAATTTCGGGAAATTTGTATTACTCGGTGTTCTCCTCCGTGTCATGCTGATGATAGTAGTTATTGTTAAAAATGTATGTATCAGTGTCGAGTTGTACACCATTAATACAACATTCAGCATATATATATATATATATATATATAGTTTACTCACGAATAATTTTGGTGTGTAGAAAATGGAACAATTAAAACAAAAAATGAATAATGAAGCCAAAGGCATGGAGTACATTAAAATGTCTGACTTGGTTGAGAATCATGCCTATAGAGTTGATTCAATGAAAAATTTGACAACGAGAAACGGTGTTGTGGTGGTGGCACGGTTGCCCGACAACCGACAAGTTTTTGTTCCAAGAATACAGTTGACGGACGATGAAATTAAAACGTACAACGACGGCGACACCAAAATGTCACTTTGTTACAGAGGAAGAACGGGAAATGTTTATTCATTTGATTTTCAATAAAATTTTTTTTTAATGCATTAACTTTTTTTTTTTTTACAATCAACAAAATCTGTTTGTATCTAATGATGATTTATGTACAACAATTGAAATAAAATTATATAATTCGTTCACAATCTATTTGTGTTTGCATTATTACTCCGATAGTATAGAACCTAATAGTAGTTTATGACAAAGGTAAATTATACTTTAGATAAATATTATAAGATTGATAGTTTTTCAAATTGGTGGAAAATGTAAAAACAAAAATCACAATAGCAATACTTTAGAGTAGATTTTAAGAAGAAAAACAAAAACTTATGTATTCAAGTTTTACACACCATTGATAATATAATCTGTTAACAGTCCAGTAATGTTTACTCCAATAGTAAAAGTACATTGAACTGAATAGTTGATTAGAGAGGTGGCCATACACACGTTTAACTAATGTATTAATTTTTCAATAGTTGTTATCATGTCGTTTGTTTGCGTTTGTGGCTCTTCATTTGTCGATAGTACTGGTTTGAATGTTCATTGTAGTATGAATCAGGGTCACCGTCAAACTGTTATTTCAGGGAAACGATGTTTGTCCGCGCCTGCGGGTAGGGTGACCAAACGCGCGTGCATGCACGTTGCAGGGACCGGCTTTGTTCCGATAGAATCTGCACTACGCGGTCGAGTTATACATTATTTTTTGAAAAATGAAACGTCTATTGACGACATTAACGATTTTATTCGATGCGTGAGTGACGATTTAACCACCGTACTGAATGACGTTACCAAGCACGGTATAATAAAATTCAACGTTGTACATACACCAAGTTATGGGTGAAATGAGAGACGTATCGTTTAAAACGCGTAACAAAACTGTCGATTCAGGTACCGTATATGCCGCCGTTTTTGATGGAATCACGGAGAAGCTCGTGTACGAACAACAGGAAATGGAGACCCGAGGTAGCGGGTGGTCGCTATTATTCATAGACGGACTGCTGTTGAGAGTCACGAAAATTTCACCATTTAGCGGTGGCTCGTACGTTGAAGTTCCACAGTGTATCAAACGAAAATTTGCGGTCATAAACGTAAGAAACGCCGACCAGCAGTGTTTTAAATGGGCGATTTTATGTAAGTACAACAAGAATAAAAAACATAGGGACCAATGGAATGCAGGTTACATTGATCTGGAAAAATCCACAAGTATACGTTTTGATGGCATTGACTTTCCTACACCATTGAAACAAATTATTCGATTTGAACGTAATAACCCGTCAATGTCGATCAATGTGTTTGCGTTGGACGATAAAAATAACGTGTATCCGTTGCGTATCACTAAATCGCGTACGAGCACCGATCATGTTGATTTACTTTACGTTACCGAGCCGGGAAACAGTCACTATTGTTATATATCAAATTTCTCGAGACTCGTGTCAAAACAACGAACCGAGGGCAAACGACACGAGTACTATTGTAAACGTTGTTTAAACGCATTTACCAATCAACCGTTAAAGACTCAACCGAGCGGACAAGCGGGGGTGGATGAGCACATTAAAATGTGTGGAAAGTTCAAGGAAGCGCGAGCCGTCCTTCCCGCACCCGACTCCGACCAGTCGGTACTGCGGTTCAAAAACACAAGGCGAGAGGAGCCGGTTCCAGTGGTTGTGTACGCAGACATGGAGAGTTTGTTGGTTCGTGCCGAGCAACAAGTGTCCAAGTACTGTACGGTTACACAAGATCATCAGGCGATGAGCTACTGTTTCTATGTGGTACGCGATTCTAAGGTGTTGCCGAAAAATATTTGCGATGGACTACCAAACGAACCGGTACTGTACCGGGGACCGGATGCGGCCAAACACTTTATCACGACGTTGGTAACCATTGGTAAACGCATATCGGACATAATGAACGTGAACATCGATGTGACGGCACTGACACCGGAGGAACAACTACGTTTCGATACAACGAAAAATTGCGAGTTGTGTTCAATTAGGTTCACGGATAAAGTAAAAAAAGTCAAGGATCACAACCACTGGACGGCTCGGTTTCGTTCCGTTTTGTGTAACAAATGCAACCTGCAACGACGTCCACCGGCCTTTATGCCGGTCATCATACACGGTCTGTCCAACTACGACTCGCACATGATTATCCCAGAGTTGGCGTACGACGATAAAGACATATATATCATTGCACAGTCCGAAGAAAAGTACATCATGTTCAGCAAGACCATAAATGATTATTTTCGTATCCGGTTCATAGATTCTTACAGGTTTCTACAAGCGAGTTTATCTAAGCTGACCGCCACATTGTCGACACCGGATTTCGTGCATACACACAAAGTGTTTGAATCGCTGGAGTTGGTCACCCGAAAATCTGTTTTTCCGTACGAGTACGTCGACTGTTGGGAGAGGCTCGAAGAAACACGATTGCCGCCCCGTGACCAATTTTACAGCTCGATCACGCATCAGACGGTGTCCGAGGAAGACTACGAACACGGTAAAAAAATGTGGCAACACTTCAACTGCAACACTCTCGGTGATTACAGCGACAAGTATTTACTTGTTGACGTAATGGTATGGTTTTTTTTTTTTATAAAATTTATTTCCGAATCGTATGTAATAACTTTTGTTGTTTGATGTAGATACTGGCCGATGTGTTTGAAAAATTTCGGAAGGAAAGTCTTACAAATTATAAACTCGATCCCGCACTTTATTTTTCGTGTTCGAATTATCGTTCGACGCAATGTTGAAGTACACGGACGCATACATTGAACTATTGATGGACCCGGATATGTTGTTGATGTTCGAAACGGGTATACGCGGAGGTTTAACGCAAGTTAATCAGCGGTATGCTCGAGCAAACCACCCAGATGCCCCCGACTACAACCCCGACTTGCCTCACAAATACCTTCAGTATTTGGACGCTAATAATTTGTACGGGACAGGTATGTTTATTTAATGTAATTTTATTTATATATAAAAAAAAAAAATATTGTAATTTTTTATTCTTTTTTTTTACAGCCATGATGGAACCTATTCCGTTTGGGTATTTTGAGTGGTCGACGGCAACGCTGGAAGAAGTACTGAACACCCCCGACGACGGTGATTACGGATACCTGGTGGAAACCGATGGACACTATCCACGTGAATTGCACGATTTACACAATGATTTACCATTTTTCCGGTAAACGAGCGATCACCGTTGTCGTCTTCGAAACACAGCAAGTTGATGACCACGTTACAACCAAAACGTGGTTATATCGTGCACTAAAACTAGCTGTGAAACACGGTGTGGTCGTAACAAAACTACCTAAATGTATAAAATTTATAATCCCGCTGGTTGGCACCGTACATTCAGTTGAACACGGAATTGCGTAAAAAAGCGACCACCACGTTTGGACAAAACATGGCCAAACTGATGATCAACTCAAACTATGGTAACATATAATTAATTTTCCAAAATTTAATTGTATTTTTTTTTTAACTTATTTGTTTCGCGTTCAACAAGAAAAACATTGGAGAACGTACGGAAACACCAAAACATACAACTCGTGTGCAACCCGGAGAAACTGTCGAGGTTAGCGGCAAAACCGTCGTTTAGTCACACCACTGTATTCAACAAAAATCTGTTTGCAGTGCACATGAAGATTAATTTTTACAAACCCATTTTTATTGGACAGTCCATGTTTTGAATACTACAATATTTAAAACCTGCTGGATTTTAATTCTAATATAAAAAAAAAGGAATACAATAAAACTCAATATTTTGGACTGTATATTAATCTTTTATAATTTTACATTAATATAAAACAAACACTGTTTTTTTTACAGAAAAACCTAAATTAAAAGACAAAGTAATACTTAATCTAGGTTTATTTAAATTAATTAACCAATTATAAAATGGGTAGTTAAAAAATAACAAATAAGGGTACATATATTTTTTTAATACATTAAAAATATAAATGAACCGACCTGTAGCCGCCTTGCCTTGCAACTCGTTATGTTCCGTGAATGGTAAAAACATGTAATAGGTGCCGTTTGTGTATATGATTTTGTTATGTCCGTTACTGACCAAACCAAGTAACAACAACAATCAATAAAAAACACATTCTTACATCAGCCCGCGCCGATGGTGGTGCAAAAGCAACTGGTCCGTAATACGGACACGCAGGATGTTATCGGTGTTGACAACAGCGCCACCGAGACCGGTGGTGCGTGCCTTGGCCATCAACACAAAATCACGACGGAACAGTCCATATTGGATATAAGTAAATGCATAATGTACAAGTTCCATTACGAAGTTATGATGCCGTTGTACGGACCCGAGCGACTCCTACTCTGTTACATGGACACCGATAGTTTCATTTACCTGATAACGACCAACTGTTTCCACGATGATTTGAAAAAGTACTTACTCGAATATTTTGACACGTCAAATTACCCGATCGACCACCCTTGTTACACCGATCGACGAAAAAAACAACCGGGCACGTTTACTGATGAATGCAAGGGTAAGCATATGCAAGAAATTATCGCATTGTTACCCAAAGTGTACGCCTATTCAATCGCTATACAAAATTACTACGACAGGTTGTTGGTTACGTGGCAAACGGACGAGGTGAAGCGATTGAAAGGCACGAGCACGGGTGTGGTGAAACATGAAATCAAAATGGTTGACTATTTGAATTGCTTGCGTGGTAAACTCAAGCAAACCCGTAGGAAAATGTCCGTAATACGCACGAAACACCATAGTGTTTCGACGGTTGAAATTAATAAACTCGCGTTGGTCAACAACAACAACTACGATAAGCGGGCGTTAATCGGTGACGAAGGAGAGTACAAGGACGTGTATACAAAAGCGTGGGGGCATTATTCTCTAGGCAATGATGACGACGACGAAGAAACAAATTAACTCAAAATTGTTCATTAGTTTTATTTAATAAAATAAATCGATACATTTTTTGTAATTTTTTAACCAATTTTTTTTTTATAAAAATATGTAAATAAAACAATTACGAATTATCCGTTAACCATTGTTTCAAACACATTGCTTTATACAAGCTACACATTTCATAATTATTTATGTGACGAATACAACGTGGTTGGAATTCCACACATAATTTCCGCAGTGGTGGACAGTTTTCTTTTATTTCGACTACCCTCTGTCCGGGTAAATATTTTTGTAACACTTGTTTTTTCTGCACGTAGATAGTATCGCACCGTAACAACGACATTATTCTCGGTAGTTCAGTGTATTCCACGTCACCAATGTTCGTGTCTAAGCCGTGATGGTTCTGTGCACGTGATTGTTATTGTAATCGTAGACCAGTGCAGGCAACCTGACTACCCATTTGTACGACCCACGCGTAGTGAAATCACGCCACATGACCGTCTTCAGTGTACGATTGAAGCGTTCCACAAGACACGCTTTCATCGTGGTAAATGTTGAATAATGACGGATATTTTCGATATTATTACTTGGGGCTCTCCGACATTAGTGCAGGCGATCTCCTCCCAGGCGCCAAGGATCCTCAGCCTACAGGTGACCCATCCCACGCGGATACGGGCGAGACCTGCAAGGCGAGGGGCCAGCCTTGCCGGCACCTCCACCCGAGCGTAACGCCCTCTGCCGCCGGAGTTCTCTCGGACCACGACGGGTCCAATTTCCGGTGGCGACTTGTCCTCCGGACGGCGGAGGGCGTCCAGAAGTACTCTCTGCACATCGCCCTCCTCCGTCCATTCCTCCACGTTCAGGAATATGACGGGCACTGTCATCACCGGACGGTGGACGCGCAGGTCATGCTCCTTCAGGGCGCCCTGCAGGCTGTCAGCTAAGCTGTCAGCCTGGGCGCCCGATCCCGGACCTCCAGCAAGACGGCTCCCGTACGGGTCCGCCTGGTGCCCGCCAATTGGACCCCAAGGGCGTTGAGGTAATCGGCAGTCATCGCGGTCTTTATGACGGCGTACCGTTGTCCCTACCCATTGTTACCCAAGAACAATAAAATAATTAATTAGTCGGCACCTTTTAGAGCCCGTACCGCACACCTGTACACCCATTGTTTTCCCCGACAACAATAGATGACGTAATTTGTCGGCACCTTTGAGAGCCCGTAATGCACCTATTGTTTTCCGAGAACAATAGCCCCATTGTTCTAAGAACAATAGATGACGTCATTTGTCGGCACCTTTGAGGGCCCGTACCCGCCATACATATACTACTAATGGCTATCCCAATTAATTTTAATGGCACTCAATAAAGTTTTTAAAAACATCTATATTTTTATGAAATTTCAATAAGACATAAAAAAAATAATACATTTCTTTTGATATACTATTTATGAAAATTAAATTTAAAACTTAAATATAGGAAGATTTTGAACAAGGCCACATACATATAACAATTTTGTTTTTAATTTTTAACAATTTCCAAAATATCTGCAATTTTATAACTCGTCTAAATTAAAGCTTTTTAATGTGCTTTCAATCAAAGAAAGTTCTAACGACTACTTTTTAATAAGTAATTTGTTAAACCTTGTAAAATGTCCATTAAAACTTTTCAATTGTTTTTTGTTTCATGCACAACTGCTGCATCGATTATTTTTATGATAGTGATATTAATATAAATATTCCTCATAAAAATAGTTCTATAAAGATTAATATTTATTTTTCATGATTTGAGGAACGGCTGACAAAAGAATTTTAGATTTACCTTAAATAAAAATTAATTATAAAGTTTTTACTAAGTAGTATATTAAAAAAAATATTCATTAGCATTTATTTTTTATTGATATGTAGGACATACATGATCTGTAAATCATTAAACATATTAAATATTATAAACAACAATATATATAGCCAAATTAGGCCATTTTATTAAAAAACTTACTGATAAAAATATTTTAACAAATACATAAAAGGTGTTTTTATAAATACGATAAAATTATCAAATATCAAAAAAATTTATCATTTATACACTTCACATAAAATAGTAACAATAAAATTAATATAAAAATTGGATCTATTGCTTTATTGTTCTGTACTCAAATTTTTAATTCTAAATAATTGATTATTGTTATGAGATAATTCTCTGATATAGTTGGTATATTATAGTCTGATTTTTACAACAATAGTAACTTAATTTGAAATTAAAATAAATCAATTAAAAATTTAAAAAATGGTTAAAACATTTAAATATTGAATTTCTTTTTTTTTTTTCAATATTGTTTAAATTAGGTACGATATAAATATACAAAAATGTATCGTTGACGAACACTATTAAATGATATAAATAAAAATTCGATATGCTTAGTGGTGGTAAAATATGATTAAACATAATATTACAAATAATGTAAAATGAATATAAATTATTTTTAAACGATAAATTTAAAAGAAATCTATGTAAGAAAAATTATGCCTTTTATATTGATGCAGTAAATTATTTCCAAAACCGAATTGAACATAAAATTATAGTGACGTTAAATAAAAAAACTAATCTTACACCAGTTTCTTGATTTATTTCTATATTTTAAATATATATATATATATACTAATGACGCAATAATAATAACACTCAAATAAAGTTCTTTAAAAGAAAAATCGTTTTAAAACTATTATCGCTTTGTATTTGTAGAAGTTCGTTTATTGATATTTAGATTTTTTAATAATAAATGTCCCTTGAAAAATAAGAATCTATATAACATCAAAATATAACGAATTTTTATTACTTGTGAAACTAAATACATAACACTATATTATACTCATTAAATTTCGGTCACTTATTCAGGTAACTATGCTATAAAAATATATTAAATACAAAGTGTTATTACGTTTGAAACAATACACATTTTAATTTTACCATCATGTATATATTTTTTACTTTTTTTGTGTCTGTTACCACTTTTTTTCAACTCTCACCGAACCGATTTCTTTCAACAATAGATCACAAATCATATCTAATCGAAGACATTATCCTCAAAAACTGAAAAAAATTCCGTTTTTTGCCGTAAATGGCGAAAATCTCCAAAAAAAAATTACAAATTTAAAAATCGCTAATTTTTTAAATGTTTTTTACTTAAAACTGCCATAAATTTTTCAAAAATGTTAAAATCAATATTACCTGCATTTACTTTACAAGAGGGATTCAAAATGATAACTTTTTCACATTAAATTAACTTATGAAATACTGACACCTTTATATATACCTTAAATTAATGCTTATGTAATATACTTTATTATGGGAAAAAAAAATTTCGGACTTTATTTTGTTTTTAAGGTGAAAATAGACATCAAAATTAATAAAAAAAATACAATTTTTGTAAATATTCTTTTTCATATTTTTAGCTTTATAATGTTATAACTTATTGAAAAATGTATGGATCAATATAATATTTTTTTCATAGATGCTTTGGAATAATTCACCAATTTTTTAAAATTAAATGCTATCTAAAGATTTGCATTGAAGCGTTTTTTTTTATAGTGATGTTAATCACTGTCATATCATTATACTTGATCCAACTATGCCACGTCACCACTGTGTCGCGACCCCCTTGTGCTGGATTGTTTTTTTACTTAAAACTGCCATAACTTTTTCAAAAATGACCAAACCAATATAATTTTTTTTTAAAATAAAACCATTTCCCTTTATATATGTATATTTTATAAATATATATTTATTCATATACTACACTTAAAAATCATAAAATTTGTCATCAGGATATAAGTAAATAGGAGATCATGTAGCTTTTGAAATAATCCACCAATTTTTCAAAATTAAACAATACAGATTTGCATCGAAGCGATTCTTATGATAGTGAATCACTGTCTGATATTAATATACTTAACCCAATTTTACCACGTATCCACTGTGTTGGGTTTTTAATAATAAATTATACAATATTTATGTATTCTTTAATTATGTTAAAATCACATTTTATATTATTTGTTTTAAATATTAGATATTATAATATTTTTCATAATTTTTAAATAATCTGTTTTTGTAATTTATTACAAAACTGTTTGATGGATCGATAACAATGTTAGGACAAATACTTATTGAGTTACAAGTATTTTAGTACATTGAGTGTGTATAGAATTAATTACTTAATCGTGTAGAGGTAACTGAGCGTACATAATTTAACTGTGAATTGTAAATTCAGTTATACTTGATTCGAGTTGATGATTTTTTTTTTGTGTGTAACCAAATTAAAATGTCTACTAAAAATAGTTATCTATTTAGTAGTTTATTGTTAAGTTTTTGATTATTAACTATTTTATAAAAAGGCCATGCGCGTAATATTGTCTAAAGATTTGGATTATTCTGTGCATTACTTGGGGAATGATTCGCCTAATTTTCAAATTAGTCTAATTCGTGAAAAATTAGAGGTTTTAATAAAAAAATTAAATTTTAGTTTTATATTTAATATTTGTATAAAGTGTACACAGCGTACATTTACAAGTCGAAAAACTCTTTTAAAGATGGAAAGTCAGGATACTTAAAAATTCCAAGGATATCAAAAAAAATTCAATATTCAAGAAAATAATTTTAATCTTTTAATAATTCTTTTAATCTTAAAAAAAAAACTTCCTCATTTTATGTTAAGTATTTGTTGGATACACATCGGTCAATTGTGTCTGCGGCCGGAATACCATTCCGCCATTTTACACGCTGGTCCAAAATTTACTGTTTCTACAATATGACAGCGATTTTGGATCCTTTCTGCGCGTGATGTCAATGCATAACTTGTACTCGGTATAAAGGTAGCCATCCTAAACCGTATACGGTTGATTTGCCCACGTCACGCATACAATTTCAGCTTGGTTTTATGCAACTTGGTATGGACTATGGTGGACACGGTGAAAAAGTGTAAGCGAAGAAATTTTCGCACAACAAAAGTGTACATAGCATTATTTGTTTGTATGTCAGTAAAGACCATACATATTGCAATGTGACAGACTTATTTTCCGAAGCGTTTTTAGCAGCATTGGACCGGTTCGTTGTGGTCTAATGAATGACAATTATTCGAAATGCGGTACAGATTATATAGGGGCAGCCCGTCAAATAAAATCGTTAATTGACGATCCTTCAGTACGGCAATAATTAACAGCACGCGTCCCGTGCAACTGGCATTTTAATGAACCCGCCACACCACACATGTGAGTTTTATGTGAGGATGTTATTAAAAACATTAAATTTCATCTTAAACGAGTTATTGGTACTCTTACGGTTGAAGAACTCAACACACTTACTGTACGCATTGAGGGTATATTGAACTCAAGGCTATTTACGCCCTTGTCAACAGATCCACATGATTCAGAAGCTCTTACATCAAGCCATTTCCTAATCGGGCAGTCGTTAGTTTCAATGCCTGAGAAAGACTTCAATCATATACCCATCAATCGGCATAATCGTTGGCAATTATTACGGCAATTCCATCAGTTATTCTGGAAGAGGTGGAACCGTGAATATTTAACGACACTACAGGGACGTCAAAAACGGATCAACAAGGAACCCAATATCAAAGTCAACGACTTGGTTATTGCGGAAGTCCCAAATAAACCACAGACTGATTGGCGTATGGGACGTGTAGTCGCGGTACACTTCGTTTCCGACAACGTTGTGCATATAGTTACGGTGCGTACAGGTGACGGCGAACTCAAACGGCCCGTCGTAAAAATTACCAAACTACCTGTTGAAAACTGACATCTCTATTATCCTTTCTCTTATACCTTTTATGTTATTTATGTTTTTTACTACTATAAGATTGACGGGTAACATTGCATTTTTATTCTACATTAGATTTTCCATTTTAATTTAAAATTATTATTTTTTTTTCGTGTAATTCAAAAAAAATTAAAGTTAAGATTTTTATCTATAAAATGTTATGGCATATGCATAAAAATAGAAAACACAATATTTATCTTTTTTTTAAGAAAGGGCAACTAAAATTAACTCTGATCTAATCGTTTCAAACTTTTTGTGTTATATCTCAGAATATACCTAGTCATATGAAGTTTTTGACGTATGATAAGGTCAAATTAGTTTTTAGATATAATAATCCGTGATATTCCCTTGCTTCTTACGTATAATACACACATTAGTTAAGACTATACTCACATATGCACTACATGTAATAAATTATCTAAAAATGTGTCATGTGTATGTTAGCATATTTTTATTTATTAGTTCTTAAGAAATATTAATAAATTATTTAAAATAGAAAAATAAAGAAATCTTTTTTCTAGGTAAATCACTTTGAAAAAAACAATGTATTTGCGATTCCAAATAATTCTGTCATTTGTAAGTAAAATTTAATCTATAAATTAATATTATTATACACCTGTTTTGTTTATATAAATACAATATATAATTTCACATTTACGAAAATATATCAAAATCACAGTTGTTGAAAACGTCAGTTTTTTATTTGTTTTGCAATTTTAAAATACTATTACTATCTGAAGAATACATAGATAATATTGAAATTATAATTGACACGACTTACGTCACAATAATGTAGTCGATACTGGTGTCGATGGTAAAGATCCCTGGGTCGTTTATTATTAACGAACGACAACAGATTATTTAAAAAAAGAAACCGAAAAGACGAACGCAATTAATAATAATATTCGCATAGTATCGTCGTGGCACTTTTGCTGTCTTCGGCGACACGGTGTCTGACATTGTCCTCGGACATCAAAAGTAGTAGCGTTGATAGTGACGGTGCGGTGGAGCGTTCGGTTCTTCTTGTTTAGTGGCGCAACACGTCCGTTCCGGTACATCTTCGACGACGTGAAGAAGACTTGACGTATATTTGTGGCAGGTCGTAGTCAGCCGACTAGCTGAACTTAGTACTGTGGCATATGGTACGCGATGTTTATCAGTTAAAGTACCGTGTACATGTAGTAGATTGGCGGCTAAATAAAAGGTACGGGATATAGGGATCTGTGTATCTCGAAAAGTTGTAGACTCAACTCAATAAAAAAAAAAAAAACTGTAGCACAGTGGGGTCGCGGCACAATGTAGACGTGGCATAGTTTGAACAAGTATAGATAATATCACTAAATAAAAATCATTATCATAAGAAACGCTTTGAAGCAAATCTGTAGATAGTGTTTAATTTTAAGAAATTGGTGGAAAAATCTATTCCAAAAGAAAATTAACTCCTATTTCCTTCATTATTCCTAATTAATAATTCTAAGATTATTAGTATAATATATGAATAAATATCTATTATAGAAATTTATTGTAATATGAAATTGATATTTAGTAATCTCGTATTGTAATTATTATGGAAACATAATAAAGTAGTTGTCACTTTTATGGCAAACGTGTATAAAACTTTTCAGAAGATAATTTGTTATTAATCACGAATAAATTGTATACAAGGAATTTTTATCAGAGTCAAAAATATATATTTGTAAATCCATTTATCACGCCGATTTTAAATCTGCAATTAGATTTTTCCATCACCACTAATTTTTTATATAATTAATAATAAGTTAAAAGCGAGTATTAATACATAAAAAAACCCAGCACAGGGGGGTCGCGGCACAGTGGTGACGTGGCATAGTTGGATCAAGTATAATGATATCTGACAGTGATTAAAATCACTATCAAAAATAAACGCTTCGATGCAAATCTTTAGATAGTGTTTAATTTTAAAAAAATTGGTGTTTTATTCCAAAAGCTACTTGATCTGCTGGTTCCTTATTAATATCTCGATTAAGATAAAGTATGTCGAATGAAAAAAGGTTTATTAAAAAATATTATTTCTCATAAAAAAATTGTGTGGATCCATCAACTATTCAATAAGTTATAGCATTATAAAGTTAAATATAATATAAATAATAAAATCGAAAATTTTCACACAAAAATAACATTCGGTAGCCGTTTTCACCATGAAGACAAGTCCAGAGGTCAAATTTTTTTTTTTCAAATTAAAGTACATTACATTAGCTTTAATTTAAGATATATATAAAAGTGTCAGACCTTCCGGAACATTTTCAAAAGTTAAGTTGAAAAAGTTAATTTTTTGTGAAAAAGTTGTCATTTTAAATCCCCCCCTGTGGGCAGAAAAAAGGTCAAATTTACAAAAAAAATATACCAAATAATAGGTAAAGACATCAAGCATCTATATAAAAAAAAATTATATTGATATGTTCATTTTTGAAAAAGTTACGGCAGTTTTTAGTAAAAAAAATTGAAAAAATTTCGAAAATTAGCGATTTTTAAATTTGTAATTTTTTTGGAGGTTTCCCCCATTTACGGGGAACGAGGGAAATTTTTTCAATTTTGAAGGGTAATGTCTTCGACTAGATACGATTTGTGATCTTTTGACGTATCGTTGAAAGAAATCCGTTCGGTGAGAGCTGAGAAAAAGTGGTAACAGACACAAAAAAAAAAAAAAAAAAAAAAAAAAATACATCATAGTAAAACCAATACCTTCTCAGCTTCGCATCGAAGCTAAAATAATCAAAATGATATAAGTTAAAATAAAATTCAACAACACACAGTGGCTCAAATTATAGTTGAAACTAGGCAACGATATATTTTTAAATATCAGTATATGCAATATGAAATAGTTTATACGGAATAACATAATATAGTTCTGAATATTTTAATTGAAGCATCTATTTAAACACCTCAAGTTACTAAGTCTAATAATAAATAAGACTTTTATTTAAATAATTTATATAATATTACAATATAAATGTCATAAAAAATAAGATATAGGNATAATATTACAATATAAATATTAAAAAAATAATGATTTTAACAAAATTTTGAATTTTTTTTATAAATTTACTGTTAATAGTAATTATTAGTAGTATAAGTATATACAAAATAAGTTTATATTTATATATAACGTAAGGAAGATTCATGTAACTTATATAACAATTGGTGGACACATTACTATGGCTAACCTTTACACGGTATTTAAAAAAAAAAAAAAATTGAACAGAAAAATAGTATGTTCTTTAACTAAGGCAGCTATATGTACGTAGAAGATAAGTTAATGGGACAAATTTTTTAATTTCATAGTACGTAACCTAAGCTTTAATTTAACATATATTTATAAGTCGCAATACTTCCGGAACATTTTCAAAAATTAAGTTAACTTTTAAAAAAAAGTTGCTACTTTGAATATACTTACCAGCTTTGCATCAAATCTAAAAATCACAACAAATTTTTACTAATATTTCGTCGAGCACATTGTTAAAATTTAAAGCATATCGTTTTGATTGTGCATGATTCAAAGTGTACTGTTTTTTATAGGGGCTAATATTTTCATCATCAGCACTGATTAACCTTGCCCAAGTCAGCAATTTTTTGTCATCCAATAATTTACCACAAGCACAGAATGCATTCCATAATTGCATTGCTAATTTAAAAATAAATGGTTTTGAACAAAGGAATTATGGTAAGACATTTAAATAAATTTGAAATCCTTATATATTAAAAATAATTCAATATATGTTGATCGTCAAATTTGTAAAAGAAGCATAATTTTATTTTTAATTTAATAAATATCAATTGTGATNTGTAAAAGAAGCATAATTTTATTTTTAATTTAATAAAATATCAATTGTGACACTGTATTTTTACAAGAAAAAAAATACAAATAATTTTAAAATTCATTTCAATCCTTAATTAAAGCCTAATACAAATACTAAACATCTTTACAACATAATGATATATTTAGTTTTGTTAAATATATTAATTATTATAGTAAATATAGTAAAAATTGAAACCGTAATGAAAATAGCACAACAGTATTATAACGATATAGTTCAAGACAACCAGGATTATATTATAAATCTGTCAATTTTACTTGAATAAATTAATAAATACTTATAATAATTTCTTGTTCAAAAATTCCATTTAGCCACAAAGTATTCTTTTTCTTAATTATCGAATGACCTTGTTTCATGATTGACTAAAATTTTCTGTCAAAATAAAAATGGACTAGAAAAAAGTCATTTCATTTAGCATTACATTTAATTTTATATAACTATTTGTATTTTAAAGTTGCAACTATTATATTTTAAATAGTATTTATTTTTAAATGAATTATTATGATGTATAATTAATTTATCAATATTAATTTGTATTTTTACAGACGAAATCAATCAATATTTAAGTAGACTGAGGGATGATATAATTTCCCGTAAAATTAAACTAGAAATAATGAGTGAAAAAATAGCTGAATTTCTAAATTTAGATATATCTAATATTGAAGAAAAGTTTGAAGAGTGTTGTACAATTTTCCACGAAACTTTGTTTAGAGTAGAAAATGTCATGGTACAATATAACGAAATTTTAATATTAATAAAATCTCAATCTTTCTAAGATTATTCTAACAATTCAATAAAAAATAAATTACATTTTAGAAATTTAATTTCTTGCGAATTGACAAGAATGTTAATGTTTAATTTATATTATTCTATCAAAATATTTTCAGTACTATACATAACTAATTAAACAAAAAATATAAATATTTTTCTGTTAATCAAAATTATATAGTTTAATAATATAAAATTATGGTCCACTTCAGTTTAATTGTGATTCATTTAAATTTATTATTATTCTAAAAAAATATTTTAATTTTAATTCTGGGCATTAGAAAATGTATTTCACTTAATTACAATATAAAAAAATGACTATAAAGAAATTTACATTGTATTGCTTCGCTAATAAATCATATTTGGTATATGCATATATATTTCATCATGTTTATAAGCAAATAAAGAGTAGTAAAGATTTAAGTATTATTATTTAAAGTGAAGTATTTAAGTATTTAAAGTTAATTTTTGATATGTATCTAGTTAGCGATTATACAATATTACACACATCCGCGTAGAATTATAATATTAACAGAATTTTCAGTCATATTACATATTTATTGAACCATGATATAAATATTTACATTATATTGGTCTTCTTAATATCTCTTCTTAAATATTAAAATCATTTTTAGTTAAAAGAAAGTGACAATTTGGAAATATTCAGACGCAAATTAACTATGCGTTTTAATCCAGCATATGAAATTCTGCAAGAATGCATAAAGAAGTATTCCCTGGTTGGAAATGATACGACAGACCTTGGTAATTTAAATACAAATTAAAATTATACACTATATATTCAATATAAATAAATATGCTAATAGTTTCTCTATGATTTAGATTGTTACTCAAAAGATCCAAGTGGAGAAAATTTTCATGACTTTACAATCAGACATATATTTGACATTGTTTCTGGTGAAGATAAACCAGATTTTTGCATTAGTTATTTTAAGAACTACATATTTAACGACAATGTACCTTTCTCAAGGTATTGTTGTGCTGTTTATTACACGTATTTGGTTTTAGATGATTCCACTTTAAATCAAGATTTGGGAACTAGTGATAGAACTCAATGAATTCTAGAGAGAATTTATGGTATCCGAACTCCCCTCTCTCAATTTTTTCAATGTATTAGATATTTTTATTATAACTTTTAACATTATTCATAAATTATTTTTTTCAAATTAAAAATTCATTAATGATCATTATATATGTGTGTGTTATTTTTCAATACATTACTTTAATTGTGAATATTTACAGTATGTAGAATAATCGTTGAATAAATGAAAAATTAACGTATTAGAATATTCTAAGGTGGAAGTCTGAATCCAAAACTGATTTATATTGTGGCGTTATTATAATCGTCTCAAAATTCTAATAATATATTATTTAAAAAAAAAAAAAAAA